CCGAGGGGACACCGAGGGGACACCGGGGTGGGACAGGGACACGGGGGGGACACGGGGACACCGGAGGGGGGGACAGGGACACGGGGGAGAGGGGATTGGTGACACTGGGACAGGAGGTGACATCAGGACAGGTTCAGGTGACACCAAGACAGGTTCAGGTGATACCAGGACAGGTTGAGGTGACATCAGGACAGGTTCAGGTGACACAGGGACAGGTTCAGGTGACATCAGGACAGGTTCAGGTGACACCAGGACAGGTTGAGGTGACATCAGGACAGGTTCAGGTGACACAGGGACAGGTTCAGGTGACATCAGGACAGGTTCAGGTGACACCGGGACAGGTTGAGGTAACACCAGGACAGTGTAGATGACATCAGGACAGGTTCAGGTGACACTAGGACAGGTTGAGGTGACACCAGGACAGGTTCAGGTGACACAGGGACAGGAGGTGACATCAGGACAGGTTCAGATGACACCAGGACAGGTTTAGGCGACACCAGGATAGGTTCAGGTGACACAGGGACAGGTTCAGGTGACACCAGGACAGGTTGAGGTGACACCAGGACAGGTTGAGGTGACACTGGGACAGGACAGGAGGTGACACAGGGACAGGGTAGGTGACACCAGGACAGGTTGAGGTGACACAGGGACAGGTTGAGGTGACACCAGGACAGGGTAGATGACACCAGGACAGGCTGAGGTGACACCAGGACAGGTTGAGGTGACACAGGGACAGGTTGAGGTGACACTGACCGTTCGGTGAAGGCTGACAGGAAGTCACCCGCCCCACAGGAGCCGGGGTGTGCCGGGTGACCCCGCGCTGACACCATCAGCGCACAGTCGGTGCCTTCGTAACGCAGGTGCAGGAACGGCTCCGTCTGGATCTGCTCGCTGGGGACACCGACACCGGGGCACTGGCACTGTGTCACTGTCACTGTGTCACCTGTGTCACTGTCACCATGGCACTGTCACTGTCACCATGGCACTGTCACTGTCACCATGGCACTGTCACTGTGTCACTGTGTCACTGTCACTGTCACTGTCACCTGTGTCACTGTGTCACTGTCACTGTCACCGTGTCACTGTCACTGTCACCATGTCACTGTCACTGTCACCTGTGTTACTGTCACTGTGTCACCCTGTCACCTGTGTCACTGTCACTGTGTCACCCTCCTGTCACCTGTGTCACCGTGTCACTGTCACCATGTCACCTGTGTCAGTGTGTCACCGTGTCAGTACGTCACCTGTCAGTGTGTTACTTGTGTCACTGTCACTGTGTCACCCTGTCCCCAGTGTCACCTGTGTCAGTGTCACCCTCCTGTCACCTGTGTCACCATGTCACTGTCACTGTGTCACCCTGTCCCCCACCCCAATGTCCCCAATGTCCGCAATGATGTCCCCAATGTCTCCAATGTCCCCAATGATGTCCCCAATGTCTCCAATGCTGTCCCCAGTGTCCCCAATGTCCCCAGTGTCCCCCGTCTCACTCGTTGAAGCCCTGTCCCCTGAGCGCGTCCCCAATGTCCCAATGTCCCCAATGTCCCAATGTCCCAATGTCCCCAATGTCCCCAATGATGTCCCCAATGTCCCCAGTGTCCCCAGTGTCCCCAATGTCCCCAATGATGTCCCCAGTATCCCCAATGTCCCCAATGTCCCAATGTCCCCAGTGTCCCCAATGTCCCCAATGATGTCCCCAATGTCCCCAATGTCCCCAATGTCCCCAATGTCCCCAGTGTCCCCAATGATGTCCCCAATGTCCCCAATGTCCCCAATGTCCCCAATGATGTCCCCAATGTCCCCAATGTCCCCAATGTCCCCAATGCTGTCCCCAGTATCCCCAATGTCCCCAGTATCCCCAATGCCCCCAATGTCCCCAGTGTCCCCAATGTCCCCAGTGTCCCCA